GACGCGGGGGCCCTGGGCGGCTGCTCGGCCGGCGCGGCGGGCATGTGCCGGTAAACAATGACCGTATTGTGAAATAGAAAACAGACTCCGGCTCCCTCTGAAACGCTCGCTCCCCACAAGATGTGTTAAATAAAAACCGCTGGGGGAAAAAAACAGCAGAAAGTCAAGAAAATCGGGTTCGGGCTGGGAAGGACGGGGGACAGGAAACCCGCAAACAGGCAGATTTGTATGCCCTCAGCTCAGTAATCCTCGCACGGACTGCAAGGGCTGCGATGCCTTGGAAAAAAAATGAGCTTGGGGGTTTTGCGGTTGGATCCGGTGGATTCCTGTCTTTATTATTATTCATTTCCCCTTTTTATATAGAAAGGTTTGTTTTGTTTTGTTTTGTTTTCTTTCCTTGCCTTTTTTTTCTTTCCTTGTCTCCGTATAAAACGAGAGCAAACTTTCTCTGCTCCGGGAAAACCGATCGAGATTTCCCCGGTGAGCTGCAAAAACAGCTTGTCAGGACCGGACGCTGCCGAGGCTGGGTGCGATACCAGCGCCCGGGTCCTCTCCTGTTTTCTCCTTCCAAAAGGCACCTTCCTGCCCGGACGTGTTGAAGTGCAGTGCCCTGGAATTTATGACACAAATGGGCTTCCCCCCTACTCTGTCCCTCTCTTCATCTGTTGAAAATCTCTACCGTCCCTTCCAACTGGATGCAAATTGGGGGCTTTAATAAACCTACTTCCCCCTTCCCAGTCGTAAACATGGATGGCTCTCCGGTTGCCCTCTTTAGAAAACAAAAAACAAAACAAAACAAAAAAAAGTAAAGGGGGAGAGAAACATTTCCAATGGATTTAAGTAAGTGATTCATATCATGAAATGCTTAGGGATTTGTTTAATGTGATTTTATATGAGCTGTGGGCATTTCCAAAGCAAACAATAAGTTCAAGTACAACATGCACAGTTGTGTTACAAGTGATACCCAGCTGGCTCGGAGATCTTCGGTGAGCAAACAGGCTAAATCTGGAAAGTAAACAACTTCTGAAAAATCTACAACTCCAGGATACTGAAAACAGCCTTTTATTTGTTTTCCTGAGTGTCTAGTAAAATCTGATCCATTTTTTTGCAACACTGCTGTAAAATCCCCAGGGACGGGCATCACCGTGGCTTTACCCCGGCCCGGCCTCTGCGCAAACGGGCGCGGAAAGCCGGGTGCTGGTGGAGGAGGGTGCTGCTGGTCAGGGTGCTGCGGGAGGGGGAGAGACACTCCTGCACAGCACCAGCCGCTTCTGGGGGGCTGTCACCCGGGAAATAGGCTCTTACAACGGCCTCCGAGTGGAGAAGCCCCGCAGAGACCTCCCAGTGTTCCTGTCCACGCGTGAGGGTGATTTGAGCTCCCCTCGTGATGGGCATCTGACCTGGGCCGGAGCGGGACCCGATTATGAGCATCCCCACGGGGCGGTGAGGGGCTGCCACGCGTGGGGCCGAGGGGCCACGGGCCCACCCAGATGGGTACCGGCGCTGCCGGTGGGCG